ACCCTAAACCCCAGGCAGCTGCCCCAAGGGTCGGCGACACCGCCGGTGCAGCGGCGGTGCAGTCACTGGTGGCCTTGAACGCCATGCAGTCGCAGGTGAAGACGATGTCCTTAGTCATTGGAGGTCTCACCGTGCTGAATGCCGGGCTTATCTTCGCACTCATGAGAAGCAATCGCTGAGAGCACATCTCCTGCATTTCGGCGCAGATGAGGGGTCGTCCTGCTTGGGCCAGGCCCTAGGCTAGTAGAAGGCAGAACGACGGCTAAAATGAAGGCTTGGCAACTCGCAGGGTGATGACCCTTTGTGCGCCATCACTTGTTTTCCCATCAGCGCCATCTGCCCCTGCACGTGCAGGATGTGTGCGCCCTGCGTTTGGGCCCTTCGGCACTAGACGAGGACGGCGCTGGTAAAGCTCTACATGCTCTACCAGTCTCACAGCGAAGCCTTGAGCTTTGCTTGATTTTCTCGTGTCGACAAGATACGCAGTGCATGTGAATCACATAGCATAGCACTTTAAGAGTGTGGGCGACACTCAAGTCCCAAAAGAAGACGGCTAAGATATCTGCTTACCACCCTCAGCGATACTCCAAAGCCCTATGGTCTCCTCAACATGCCTCCATCTGATTTTGGACATTGGTGCGCCCACCTCATGGCTACAGTGGCATGAAAATCAGCTTTTGAGTTAGTGGTGTGCTGCTGACACCGCCGGGAGCTCGATGCCAACCATTCAGCGCCGAATCCACAGTGCAATACCCCCGAGCTTTGGTGTTAGACTCAGTCTAGATTCATACCCGCGGGGCGGTTGGGGTTCGGGATTGTCCAGGGATACGTGTGTGCATATATATTTTTTTATATTTCTTTTACATATATACGTAATTCAATATAGCATAAATATAATATAAGTAATTACACATATCTACATGCATCGACTCGCAGAAGTCTTGACTCGGGAGAGAGAGTGTGGAGCATTATTTTTCCTCCCGAAGTCAAGACCCGTGTGCTCAGCAGCTTTTCGCCACAACTGGAATCCTCTGTCGAAGGTGTGCGATGCTGGCTGGGTAACGGCTTTCCATACCCAATAAAAGCCCGAAGCTTGAGAAGTACTTCGCCCGGCAAGCATGGCATGCCTCGTAGCAGAGATGCTCACGCGCAGGGTCCGTGCCAGCAGATCTTTGAACGGAAGGGGATCTTTGGGGCCTATAAAACGCAAAGTCGAGGGTAACGATTCGAAAGTCTCGGGTTTGCCGCTAAGCTGTGTAGCTGACCCGGCCGTGTCGCAACATCGACGACAGTTCCTGCACAAGCACGAAAAAGGTCTGGACGCCAGGAATTCTTCGGATTGTTGAGGCTTGATTTCAGGGATTTCAGCTGGCAGGCATGTTCTGAAGCCCCGGTTCAAAAAGGAATGTTGAACATGTAATTAGGTTACAGGATAATGCAGCTACTCTGTGACTTTAAGCCATAAGTGGGGTGTAACACGTAAGGCCATCCTGAGTGGCAGCGGACACATTGCCGAGGGTGCGAGTATCTCAAGACTCATGTTCTTCCCTCAACCTCTCCGCGTTGCCCCTCTCCCTCTCTTTCGAATCTCTTTCTCGCTCTCTCTGTCTCTCTCTCTCTCTCTATCCCTCGCGCCCTCTCGCCCCTCACCTGGTTCGTCTAGCTTGTCTTGATCACGTTTTTAAAGACAAGGGCCCCAACGCTCTTGAAAACCCTGAAGCCCAGAACCCCAACCCTCGACACCCACGGGCCTTAATGATTGTAAACATCTGTAAAGCCCCGATCCCTAAGCCCTAAACCCTAAACCCTAGCTCTTTCTTGCTTCCTAAGGTTAGAAGTATGGGCCCCTAATGTGGACCCTTAGGCCTTTCTAGGGAAGCTTAAGGGTACATAAGGTTGAGGGCCCATACTAGGGCCCATGGGTTCAACCTTAGATGCTTCCAGGTTCGATGCGAAGAACATGATGTGCGCTGCTGACCCTCGTCATGGCCGCTACCTCACCGCCGCCGCACTCTTCCGAGGCCAAGCACCCTGGGGCCCCAAACTAAGGTAGCCCGGCCCCCATAGTTTGGTTTAGGGTTTAGGGTTGAGGGTTTAGGGTTCGGGTGGGCGTAGAGTAGAAGCCAAAAATTTGGAACATCATTATCTTCGTGTCCCTAAGGCAAAGTATTGTGGATCCCAGCACTAATCATTCTAAATCCATGCTCCAACTTTCTGGGATTCACTATAAGGTAGCCCGGCCCCCTAGTTTGGCGCTTACTTAGAACAGGGTTCTGAGCCAGACTCTGCTAGAATTATGAAGGGTTACTTCCAGGAATCGTGTTGATAATCTTGGGGCAGCCAAAAAGTAGTCAGTGCTCTTACAGAGCCCACATGATGCCGAATAGGGCCAGGAATTTGGTTTGCGGCTTAGTGTTTGCTACCAAAGCCTGTGCACCTTAATGCTGTCATCCCGAAAATCAAGTCACAGATCCTACCTGGACCCCAAATAACCTACCTTTTTCGGGCCACACACGCTGGTATTAGGCCGCGCGCTTTTCTGCAGGTTTTGCGGTTTCGGTGCTGCGATAGGACTTTGCTTTGCTTTCGGAAGAGGGGG